TTTGAAATAACTATTAGTAAACAAGTACATTATTTCAAATTATTGTGCAATTTATATTTTATTTCAAATGTAGCCATCTTTCCTTTTTACTTATTGATATGCATCAATAAATAATTTGCAGTCCTAGGGATCCGCGGATCACAGATTAAAGCCCAATACGCACGAACTACGCGAACGTATTGCACTCATAAGGACAATGTGAACATGAAAATATCGCTTCTTCCGTTCAATTAATGTTTCGTTCATTATGATTTTGTTCCTGTCGTTATGCGACTGATCTGCAGTCCGGTAGACAATTGACAGCCTACGATCATTTTGCAATATTTTTATATTTATGTTGTTCTTATCTCACTTGACTGAAATTACAAAAATTGCTCACGAAATTACTTGGTAATTCCACCCGTTCTGTTTTAACGAATATTTTCCATGTGCTCTCACGTAAAATCATGCAAATTATAATTTATGATCGAATCTTCAAGGTCACGATTATCAGATTAGAAGAAAGATTCCATTAAAAAATTTTGTCTGTGCATCGTATTGAAATTCAATTTTGCTTACCTGGGAGTACAACAATATGGTAAACCAACAAAATTTGCCTGCTGTGATCATTAGCGGCGATGACCTAGCTCGACACATGATAATTATGAGCAATCTTGCGTTCTCGGGAGAGAAATTGTACCATTCGCAATGGTATGCCGTGTCAGCTACCTCTGTACTCTGAAAAATCGCGGTACACGTTTAGATTATCGGCAAACGGATTATTTAAAATCTATGTATAATATATCCAAATTTTTATTAGAATAAGCTCGAGTATTTAATTTTTCTCTCATGGGCGATACCTCGAACGTAAGTCTTTCCCCTACGTAACAATATAGGTACAATTGCATCATTGCGCAGGTTACATAGAAACACAGGAATGCAATTTTGAAAACCATGAATTGCTCTGCTTCCTCACCGAGTGACTACAAATCAAATGACGTCGAAAATTAAATCGATCAATCGTTTTATATCTTTTTAATCCATAAATATAACATTAATTATAATTATGTTTTAGGATATTTATGATCTTTCTTCGTACTATGATGGCTTGAAAACACTGGAAACAGAGCTGAATGATGCACCCGAGCATTTGAAACAGAAGCATCATGTTGAAACAATTCTCTATCGCTTCAGCGAACCTTAAGGAGATAACTATAATAATAGTTAATAAATATTAGAAGAAAATCTGTACACGATTGCAAATTAAGAATCGAATGCATCCTTAAATGCATAAATGCGTAGATTGATAAATTTGAAATAAGGGTAAATGAATAATAACGATTTTACGATAATTTTACGCAATACTTACTAAATTTCAAATAAATGTGAGGTATCAAATACGATGAAATCATTAAATCTAATGAATCTGTGATGAAGGTATGGAAAAATAATATCGGAATGCATTTAATTTCATTTCTTGTTCACTTACAATTAGTATAATAACTAGAAGAAGACGAAACAATCTTTTTGATACGAACCCACTAATGTAATTATGCTTCTCGACGATTTTCTTCAACCGCGCTTGCAAATCGTCCC